AGTAAAAGTTGTTTGAGAGTTTTGACCTGAAGAATATGCAGTAACATATACTACTAGAATATCAAACCTACCTCTAGCACTAAGGGGCACTTGATATACCTTGTTGGATGCTAGAACCTAGAGGTTTCTTTAGTGTTAAAACTGCATGGGATTATTTGAGAAGGAGAGCTGAACCAATGAGAGCATATAAGATGATTTGGGTGAACGGGGCTGCCGTTTCAAAATTGCGTTTTTTCATGTGGAAAGTTTGGAGAAGCAGGCTGCCTCTTGATGATTTTTTCAGAAGACTGGGCTATCTTATGGCATCCAAATGTTGGTGTTGTGCAGAACCAAGGGAGGAGACCACACAACACTTGTTCTTCACTTCATATGCAACAGATAAAGTGTGGAAATACTATCTTGGGCATGCAGGTATCCCAATAAATGGAATCACTTTCCATCAGGCCATAGTTAAATGTTGGACTGCATATGTTGTTCCTAGACTAAAGCCTATCATGCAAGCACTTCCTTCAGTGATTATATGGGAATTGTGAAAAAGAAGAAACAATTATAAATATGGAGATGCAGTAACAATTAACAGAGTAGTATACCAGATTTCTACCACACTGCAGTCCCTCATAAAGGTAAGGAAACCAAGCATTCAGTATATTCCCCATAGATGGCCAGAAATGATCAAGATGATGGAACAGTACACCCCAAAGCTTAAATACACAAAGGTGCTGTGGGAATTACCAGATCATGGGTGGATAAAAGTCAATACAGATGGAGCATCTAAGGGCAATCCAGGCAGAAGTTCAATTGGCTTTGTATTGAGAAATGAGGTGGGAGATGTAATATATGCATGTGGCAAAGAAATACATGAAGCATCAAACACAGTTGCAGAGGCAAAGGCTATATATGAAGCACTGAGATTTTGTGTGCAGCATGACTATATTCTAATTGATTTGCATACTGATTCTATGCTATTAAAGAATCTCATAACAGGAGAATGGAAGCCTCCATGGCAGAATGTGAGGAGATTAGAGGAATGATGAGCAGAGCCAATATAAAGGTATCACATACCCTCAGAGAAGGTAACAAGCTTGCAGATCACATTGCAAATTATGCACTGGATGTTGGACCTATGGAGTGTTATGGGTTTGAAGATCTGGATGTACAGGGGGAGAAAAGTAGTGAACTGTGATAAGCTGCAATGTCCATATCTAAGAGTAAAGGTGTAAAGGAATTAGGGAGTGAAGAGAAAGTCATAGGAGAAGCAAGAGTTAGAAGACTCACTTACCATGCTCAAATCTGTATAGAGGAGAGCAGGGTGAGGATTTGTTTCACTAATTCTTTTTTCTTTTTGCAGGTACAGCTACTCTAGCTATGCTCTATTCTTTATGGATCTCCCAATTGGTAGTATTAGTACTTGGTACTCAGTCCATTGGGGGGGGGGGGGTAGAAGTTAAAATAAGGCAGTAGTATAGAACCAAGGATGTCCACAGTTCTTCATGGAAATACCGTGGAAGGCAATAAACTTGGAAGCTCCTGTGTACATTCAAAGGGATGTATGTTTT